GAAAGTTCAAAAGCCACATGCTTAAATGAGAACCCAAGTAAAACTTAGGTTCACATTAGGGGCCAGAGAGTTGGAGAATGATACTTAGGAGCCGGAATCTACAGGCTAAGACTAGTTTAACACTTGTTGAAATTTAAGTTTACAAGTTGAAGTTAAATCGAGATCATATTTAACACTTGTCGAAATTTAAGTTTACAAGTTGAAGTTAAGAGGTAAAGTGACACTGGGTTCTTACCATTACCCTCCTTAAAAATTGATCAGCTCAAGGGGTAGAGGTGAAGGTCATCATTTGGTGGGAACTCCCAGTTGCCCAAGACGATGAAATAATCATCTCCAGTACCTTTGTTGGAGTCTGGGAGGTCGACGATAAGTTTGTACTCGGTGGACCTTGGCTTGAGGTAATAGATGTAGCTTTTTTCAGATTTCAGGCCACACATGATATAACAGTACTGGATATCGGCTAAAGTTATCCTAGCATTCTCTCGATTAGCTAGGGCTATTATATCGTTAATAACTCGATAAGAGTTAATGGCTAATTGCATCGGGTTAAGCTTGTAGTGGTGAAGGACTTGGCGGAAGAGGGTGTCAAGGGGAAACCTAAGCCCGCACTCAATAAAGGCTATTACTGGGAAGGGCATGGAGTTGTTTTTGGGCATGATAGAGTCCTTCTCCCTAGCCAACCTAAGATGGACGTCGGCAGGGATAGAGAACTCTTGCCTAAAGTATTCAAGCTTTTCTGGGTTGTCTACCCTCCACCTAAACATTCCTATGATGTCGGCTAAATGGGAAAGGTGTTGGATTTTAGAAAGAAGTGGTTTGTTAAGGTTCAAAAATGTCCTCGGCTTAAACTTAAAACAGAAATTGGGGCAAGGGTTTTCAAGATCAATGGGAGATTGTTACAGTTTTCCTAAAGTTTGTGGGTTCTAAGGAAAATCCCAAATCTAGAGCTATTGAAACAGAAATTAGGAGCAAGAATTTGGAAAAAGTAACAAGAAAACAGGGCAAAGAGTACGATTCAGATTCAAGAAGGTAGTAGAAAATCAAGAACAGTGTTAAGCTATCGAGAACATCAAGTACATATGTGTGTATGTGTATTCCCAGAAATAGATTGGATAGAAGCTCTTGATTAGGAAATATGCTCAATACATGAATGATGGAATTCAACACACAAGTAAACCATTCAAGAGCATGAACAGGTTTGTAATGGCAATTAACAAGTATAAGAAAGTTTGAAATAAAATCAAAAATAAGAAACAAAAGGAAGCAGTGGCTTACCAAGAAGAGCGACGCCGGTGTAATGTATGTCGAAGTTGAACGATGGTGGAATGAGTAACAAGACAGTGAATGCTTCGCCGGAAGAGACAAACGGAGTAGTTGCAGAAAGCTTCGAGAAAGACGGAAATAGAGGGTTTGGGAGAGAAAGTTAGAGAGAGAGAGCTTGAGCGAAAACAGTGGTGTAAAAGTGAAAAGACGGAGAGAGAGAAAGAGATATGATTTTGATCAAATACACGGAATGGCAGCAAAATTGTAATTAGTGAGCCTAGGACAACATGTCTGTCAGGCGGCACACGCAGAAACGACTCGACCTGATGGCGCGTTGTAACAACCCCAATCCGTAATTAGCTACTAATCCGTATTTAACGGTGCTAATGAGAGAATTAAAATAACTTATGTATTTATTTTGTGTTTTCCATAATTTTGGCTTTCTATCTGTTACTTATAGAAATATCTGTTGGGGAATTCCACTTTAATATGTAAATTGAAAACCTTATCGACGGCCGAATCTGAAGTCGATTAATGTTTTATGCTAATTAGAATATATGTGATTTTATGGTAGATTTAATTAAAATTCGATTTGGAATGACTAAATTGGATTAAATAAGCTAAGTTACAATAGTTGGACTTAATCACCATTTTGCCACTTAGTGGCCCACTTCATAAAACACATTTGAGCTTTATTTCTAGCACTTTGTTCAGCCATTTCTTGAGCCTAAACCGACTAGAGAGAGAGAGAGAGAGAGAGATGGGAGGAAAGCTTAATTTCATCTTGTTTTGGCTTGGAGATTAAGAGAGTTGAAGAAAATTTGCATAATTGAGCTTCCACATCTTGAATTCAAGGCATAAGGTAGAGGAACCATCTTCTTGAACTTGTATTTAAGTTAGTTCTTGCATGGTTCATGATATATTGAAGAGTAGAGTCAAGAATTAGCTTAATATGTTGAATTGAGTAGGAATTCATGCATACATGTACATGTTGTAGAGTTTTGAAGTTGTTTTCATGAAAACTCCCACATGCATGTTCATATTATGGTTCTAGTTCATGAATTCCTCATGTTTTTGAAAGGATTGGCCCATTTGATCTTGTGTTTGAAGCTTTAAATTCATTTAAGCTCATGCATGTTACATTCGAGTCATGTTCATAAAAGCTCCTTGAAATTTGTGTTCAATTGAACTACCTTTGGACTTTGATTTCTCAAATTGATCTTTGAAACATGTCATACTATGAGTTTACAAGTGTTTTCCAGAAAATTAGCCCAAAAGGATCGAATTTGGTACATTTAAAGTTGATTTTGAGCTTAAAGGTTCAATCTGAAATTTCCAGATTTTGGGCTCACGCTCGAGCAGGGAAAGTGACGCTCGAGCGTGAAATGCGTGTTTCCAGCACTTTTTCATAAGTTTGCAGTCCGCTCGAGCAGGGAAATCCACTCTCGAGCAGAGCTTCTTTGTCTGCATGTCCGCTCGAGCGGGGGAAGCCACGCTCGAGCGTGGACCTTACTTTCAGAAATTTGTCTAAGTGTTCCAACTCATGTTTTGGCATCCTCATTGCATCCTAGGCATTCCTAAGCCTTAATTAAGCCATAGTAATGAGGTTATGGATTATAAACACACTAAGAAAAGAATGTACTAAGTTCCGAGACTGCAAGTGTGTGTTTTAGGCATAATGATAAGAAAGAATAAGAACCAATGTAATGAAACCTAAATCTTAATGGCCACTTGAATCTGTAATGATAAGATGTGCTTGTGTTATGTATTTTGTGGTTGTAGGTTAAGACTCGAGGATTGATTGACCGTTTACTGGAACCACTGTGAGTAACATTATCATAAAGATACGTTTATATGAAATTATGTTCCAAATGAAATGTGATAAGCTATGTTTTCTGAAATGATATCTGTTTTCGTGAACGAATATCCCAAGTTTGAAATTTATTATGGCATCCATAGATAGTCCCAAGTCATGGGGGACGGCATGAAAATGCGGGTCCATGACATACAAGTAATTACGAGATCTCGTTAGCCACTTCATTGTGGTGATATGTGTTTAATCGGTATCCAGAACCGATTACTCTAGTCGGAAGACGTTCTGTGATGTGTTCTATGGGATGTACCATTATTATGTTCTGATATGAGGATGATTATGCTATGATCTGTTTTCTGCTTATGATATGTTCGGATTTCGTTTACTAAACCCTTTACTTTAATGTTATTCATTGGGCTTTAGCTCATTGTGTGTATATATATGTATAGGTGAGCATTCTGGAGCCCGAGCCTAAAGACTTTTGTCTAGATCCATGTTCTGTTGTCAGCCAACCATTGTGCCTCATGTGGAGGTTCCCGAAGTGTCCTGTGTTCAAGTTCTGTTGTTTCTGTATATATGTATGACTCGATTTAATTCTGTTGGCTGGACTTAAGATACTATATTGTGTGTGGCTATAATGTATGACTGATTTCTGATTATATATAAAAAGTTTTTAAATATTCCGTTTCATATAAGTCAGCATAGCTCATTGGACAATTATATTTATGTATTTGCTTCCGCTAGCCCCTTAATCTTGTTAATCTGTTCAGAGGCCTTTGGTAGTCCAAGGATTACTGGTCGGTTATGATGCTAAACCTATAAGGGCGGGTTTGGGTCGTGACACGCGTGTCAGGTACGGTTCAATTGGGAAGAAATACGTGGCAAAAAGGGTTGAGTTACTGTGCATGACAGCTCATATGTGTGTAGAACCTCTTGGAGTTATTGATTTATTGGAGATGACCTCGACTAGGGGGACGATCTCGGCTAAGAAACTTGAACAAACTTGGTTATTTGGTTCTAAAGCATTGATGAAAACAGATTACAGGTCTTGGTCATATGAAGCCGACAAATGATGACCTCGGTAAATGAAGGATAGAGCAAGTTTAGCCGACGTGCTATATGGTTAAATGATATAGGTTCCATTACCTCAGGATGCCGAGGTAATAGAACCTAGGGGGCAGTTGTGGGGACGTATTTTTTGAATAACGACACAAGGCTAAGGTGGCACCAAAGTGCCAGCCAAGGTGTCACGTGTCCTGGTCATGACGCCGAGATGATCTTGGCTAGGCTGAGGTTATCTGCGGAGATACCGAAATCCGAGATAAGCGGATAAGCTATAAGAGTCCTAGAATGGGAGAGGACCTCAGCCTGGGTAAGGATAAAGCTCTTAGAGAGTTCATCTTTATCTATTAGAGAGTCCAAGATGAGCATTGGGCCATAGGCCATTGAAGCTAGGCTTTTACAAGGATCAGGTCAATGCTGGTTATAAAAGTAAGACACCTTCATGGGTCTAAGGTACGCTTTTTGCATTATGAATAGTGAGTTATGCATTTTTGTTATCTTTGAGAGATAACTGACTTGATCGTCGGAGTGCCCCCAGGTAGACGAACCACTGTCGGAATCTCATCTTTCTGTGACAAGTTGTTCGGGTGCAATCCATTCTGTCGGTGTTCTCCAGTTGAGTACCTGTTTGGCAGTGTGGTCAGAAATCAACACACACACACACATATATATATATGTATAATGTATGGGATTGTAATTCTCTTCTCATTTTAAACTTATAATAGAGAATCTCCATTACATTATTTACCGTAATGATTTTTTTTTTTAAATTTAAAATATTAATAAATTTTGATGATTATTTCATAATCTGAAAAACATAGATAGTGTAATTCAAGAAGTTTTGAATGAATGAATTACCAAAATGCTCTCCATCGATGGCACAGTGAAGAACAGTGCGGCCATCAGTGTTACTTCTGCCATAAGTAAAGATTTTGGGATTGTGGGCGAATATGTTACGTTCCTCCTCCAAGGAGTAGTAATAGCAGAGACTGAAGAAGGCATTTTTCATACCATGGAGTGCTGCCAAGAAGAGACGAGTCTCACCGTCATTGTTTCGCTCACCGATAGTATCAGGATGCGGAGAAGCAATGGAAACGCATATTCCCGTATTCCCCTTCTTTACTACGAGATGGAGTGGAGTGTTCCCTCTGTCATCGTGTCACGACCCAAACCCGGCCCTATGGGTTTATCACCGTAACCGGCCAGTAATCCGAGATTACCGAAGGCCTACTTAACAGTAATACAGTAAAACAAAGTACAGGGCCTGACGGAAGCCAATACAGTAAATAAACAATGTCTAATGAGTTGTGATAGTCTATATGCAAAACGACTTTCATACATATATACGTAAACAGTGCAGAACAGTATGTATAATATTAACATTCATTCAGAATAGGGACTCAATCCCTTATAGAGTAGTACAGTACAGTGCTATCAGTCTATATGGTTCACAAAACTGATACAGAGACAGAAGGGGGAAATAAAAGACCCCTAAGCCGTAGCATGGCAGACTTGGAACCTCGCAGTGAGGCACATAGGTTGGCTTGACAAAACAGGAGTCTACTCCGACGCTTCTAGCCGCGTTCTGGTGCCTGTACACCTACATATATATATGAGCAGTGAGCTAAAGCCCAGTGAATAACATAATGCATAAAGGGGTTAAGAATGAATGTCCTTACAGTAATGAAAACAGTTCATTAAATCAGTATTTCAGTCGTTCAATCGGTACAGTCATATGTGGTACATCCGTTAGCATAACAGTACAGTAAACAGTAGGTCTTAAAAGACCGAACAGTAGTGATGGCCATCAGTCAGTAAACAGTAGTGGTTCTAACGAGGGAACCGACAGAGAGCTCTGTAACAGTATCAGTAAACAGTAGGTGCTAAGGATGCCACAATACAGTTCAGAATATAGGACATACATTCATTCAGTTAACAGTAATCAGTTCAGAAAGCAGTACAGTTCAGTTGTTCAGAAAATAATCATTTTTGAACATATCTTGACACGATCGTTACTCACAGAGTTCTGGGCTACAGTAAGCTAGAGCGCGTCTTCAGAAAGCCAATCCTACACAGTTAACAGATTGAACACACACTAAGCTACACAATCAGAAAAGATAATAATTGAACCCCTAATATGCCTCGGTGTGTTCTACATCTATATCCTCATTAAGATGCTATAAACTAGGCCTAACAATGCCTAGGATGAGATGAGGATGTAAAGATGCACTTGAAAAAGCATTTTCAGAATTTTCGGAAAACAGGGGTCACGCTCGAGCGTAAGTTACTCCGCTCGAGCAGACATGCAGACAAAGGTTTCTGCTCGAGCGTATGCTTACCCGCTCGAGCGCTCTGCAAAACAGAACAAAAGTGCTGGATAGGCGAAAATCACGCTCGATTGGGCGCTCGACACCCGCTTGAGCATGAGACATAATGTCCCGCTCGAGCGTCAATTATTCCGCTCGAGCGGACTTCAAAACAGAACAAAAATGCTGGGAGCACGATTTCCACGCTCGAGCGCCAGTCACCCCGCTCGAGCGTGAGTCCAAATTCTGGAAATTCCAGATTTGAACCTCAAGCTCAAAACCAAGTTTTAAACCATAAATTTCGATCCTCTTGGGCCAATTTTTCCAGAAAACACATCAAAACTCGTAGTTTAACATGATTCAAAGCTCAATTGGCAAAATCAAAGCCCAAGGGTGTTTCAAATAAATCCAATTCAAACCAATTTCCATGAATATGATGAACATGCAAACATGCATGAATTCAAACCAACTCAAAGCTTCAATTTGATGCTCTAAGGAGCCAATTGTTCCAAAAACAAGATGAAAACATAGACTTAACATAACCATGAGCATGCATGTGACAATTCTCCATGGAATCAACTCAAAATTGAACAATTCAAACATGCATGCATGAAATGAGTTCTAATTCAACATGTGAAGCTATTTCATGCCTTAATCCACTAAATTTGACAAGAACCATGCAAGGACAAGTTCAATTCACAAACAAGAGGGTAATCACACTACCTTAGGTCTTGTATTCAAGGTCTAGGAGCTCAATTTGCCAATTTACTCTTCAATTCTTCAAGTCTACAAGCAATTACCAAGGAGGAACGCACTTCCTCTCACTCTAACTCTCTTGGTCGGCAAGAACAAGGGAAATGAGCTGATGAATTGTGTTGATTCAATGTGTACACAAGTCTCAAAGGGTGTGAGGTAGTGGCCACTAGGAGGGCAAGGTTGTAATTAAGTCAAGTTGTGCAATTTAACTCATTTTAATCTAATTTAATCATACCTAATCAGTTTTCAGATAAATATACCATAAAATCCTATAAATTATGAGGAACATGAAACATTAATCAATTTCCGGTTCGGCCGCCGATAAGGCCTTCAATTCGCAATTTAAACACAAAGGCATGAATAGATAATCAGACAGACAACATATAGAATTACAATTCAAACAGATACATTCAATCAATCAGTTTCAGCTTTCAGTCAGTCAGTTCAGTAGTTCATTCAGTTCACTTTTCAGTCATAATCAGTTCATTTTAACGGTAATCAGTAGTTATTCGGTAATCAGTGACGAGGGTTGTTACACATCGACTAATCGCATTACATCAATACTCGCTGCATCAACCATTAGCTGGACTAATTTGTTTAACTCTTTATCTTGTTTTTCGCTGGCAGCAATATGTAAAGCTGTGTAACCTGAATGAGTGATCTTCATACCTTGTACCTCCGTATTAGGATTTTCCTTGTATATTCTCGCAACTTCTCGCCAATTTCGTGAAATGACACTTTTGAACAAAGAGGACAAAGGCGAAGACCGCATTATCATTGGCATTGCAAATGCAATCAATTCTTTGTTCACTACTTAGAGAATGAACAAGGTAAGAAGTACCCTCGATCGTCTAGTAGATTGATATTTATATATGAAAAATATTAGGGATCATGAAATTTTTTTTATGAAAATAATTATGAAAGATTTGTGATCTTTACATTACCTTGATTAGTGTGTAGTGCTTTATTCTAAGTGTAATTCAAAGATTACAAATCTTTCATGATTATTTTCATGAAGGACTTTTCATAATACCTAACATTGCTATTTATGTATATAGCCGAGGGAATAGGAAAAATTATTAGGTATGTGATCATTCTTTCTCACCCATCATTATCTATTATGCCTTTTCATGTTCTTCATTCACTCTACAAAAAAGCATACTATCCACATTTTTTACCAGCCATATTCTCGGGTTACCGAATAATCAATAAGAGATAATTTATTGTTGCTGAAGATGTTCAAATACACTCCATCAGTACGAGCCCACTGTGGACAACTTCGAGAGAGAGAGAAAATGGCATGTAAAAGTATAGAGAAAAATATATATATTTTTATTTTACCTAATCAATTTAGTTAGTATACATTCCAATTATATTTTTTATTTTAGTTAATCAATCAAACTAACTTAACTAATTTTTAAAAGAAAAATATTATAAATATAGATAAATAAATAAATAATCTTTGATGACATGCTATATATGTTGACATGATATTTATAAATATATATATTTTAAATATATATTAAATTATTTTTCAAAAATATATATTAAATTATTTTAAAAAAATATATATTTTCAAATGATGGAGGGAGCAATTTTAAATGGAAAGAGTACGTAGTTTTATTAGGAAATCCTTTTGCCTCTAAATGAAAACTAGCTAGTTGTGGAGAGCTAAAATTAAAATGAACATTTTACCTCTTCTAATGCAGAGCCCCTTAGTAAAGCAGAAAACCAATTATACTAACAAAAATATTTCAGAATGCTCTTTTGCCTCTCCTCTCCTTTGAAGATGGTCTTATATATCATTAGGGCCCTGTTTCTTTTCCACTATCACAGTCCACTCCGGACTATGACCGGACTGTGATAGATAAACAGTAATCATGACTCCTATTTGTTTTGATTTTAGGCTTCGGATTCGTAGTCCAAAGGTAGTATGGATAGCCCTTGGCGAGGGTATTAGCAATCTAGAGTGGGAGATGATATTAGCAAAGTAGTCCGTTTGGACTGGGTGTTACCGGACGTTCGCCCGGTCAATCGGTCAACTAAATTTTTTTTTTTACTTGTTGGGTATTTTTTTTTTAAACATTAATGTTTAATGTTTTTGTATTTTTTGTTAAATAAAAATTATATTTTTATTTGTTTTATTATTTTATATAAAAATAATTTAACAATCTCTACATTAACAACTATTATCAAAACAAACACAATTTTACTAATTTCATTACTATTAATTCTCTCTATTTTATCTCTGAAAACAAACGGGTCTAAAAATTTAAAACCTTACCTCCAACAAAACTCATGTCTAATCAAATGGAGAGGTCCCATGTTCAAAATTCAAATGATCCCTTCAATTCGTTCCGCTAAGAAAGTTTTTTTCTTTTAATTTAATTTTTTTATGTTTTAATGATTTATATTTTGATCAAACTTTTTTACTTTCTGAGTTATCTATTATAGAATAATCTAAAAAGTTAAAAATAAAAACTGAAAAATCTATAAAAAAAAAAAATCATGAAAGTAAAAAAAAATTATTTGTTGATTTGTTGATTTTTTTATTTTTTTTGGTCTTTAGTAAACTGTTGGTCTAGTGAAATAAATTCTACAAGTCCAAAGTGTTTAAAAAAAAAATAAAAAATCAATAAAGATGAAAAAAAATCAACAAAAAAATTATCAAAAAATAAAGGATCATGGGTGCACTTTACATATTTAGGAGAAAAAAAATTAAAACAAATAAAGGATAAAATGTTAAGTACTTATAATTTTTTTGTTCTTTTTAATTTTCTAGTATCTACACAAAGTTTGTTTGAATATATACTTACCAAAAATTTATTTACATAAATTAAGATCTAAAAAATCTTTACAATAATTCAAAGAGATAAAAGGTGATCTTGTTTAGCAAAATTCAGTTTACAAGAAGAAATAAATCACCAAAAAAAAAAAAAAAATCTAAAACTCTGCAGCAAAGTATAAATTGAAAATTCTGTTAAAAAAAAAAGTATAAATTGAAAATTACTAATAAATCTTGCATAATCAAGGTTATTTACAAT